GTTTGTTTATATACATCAATGCACCTTGTTAAATGTTTCGTCCGTCTTGTTTCACGGAGGTGGTGATCATCAATCTTCCAGCAACCCTCAATGTACGATAACATGGATTCATGAGTCAAACAATTGGATCAAAGCCAATACGCTGCTGATATAGCTTGTTTATCAAAAGTCCTGAAAATGCGTTATGAGGACAAAGGGTAAAAACCGGTGTGTAAATCTACGTAATATAGCCAACGTAGCGCAAATGACCGTTTTGTGCCCATCTAATTTTTCAAGTGAGGTTTTGTCTTACCCCCATGCTAGGTAGGTGGCATAGTTTCAGATGTTTGAGATGTACATGTGTTCTTTGGTTGGGCTTCAGCGAAAAGGCATAGGTTTCCAGGAGTAATGTTTTTCACGTTGATGTGGCCAACGCAACCCCCCCCCCCCCCACACACACACACACACCACACCCATCCACCCCACACCCACCCCCCTTCAGTGTATATACACATGTGAATTATGCACACCAAAGATATTTTTTGTGTTATTTCTTCAGTAAAGAAAACAACACACAATACACATTAGCCACACATGATGTGTATATGAACTGTAGGCTGTATGAAACTTACTTCGAGTTATCTCCCTTTGACCATGCAACTGAAATATTGTCCAAGTCAACGTTAATGACACTGTCAACACCTTTTCAACAATAATAAAATAATATCAAATGCAGGAATCGAACGAATCGACCACATGAAAACATGCTAACAAACAGTGAGGACACCAGGTGTTCTCAAAAGGTGCGCGTATCCTGCTCCGTCGGTAGCACTCGTAACCTTAGTTTACTCACTTATACACTCATCTCTTGATACAAAATCGGCCACATTTCACATGAAAGGAACATACACATGATGAATGTTTCACAACCTTGACGCTCAGGTGTTTCAGTCTGTCGTCCTCCACTGACCTGAAGAAGCATCCAGGCAGAACTTTGTGTCAATCGTCATGTTCTGCTCCACCGGCACAATCCGCCATCCACACAATAACTTGAATGATCAGCGCGGTGTTAAACAACAAACAGAGATGGCTTAATGTCCTCCCACTTGTTCTCGGGGTCGTACAGCATACACTTGTAAAGCTGAGACTCAAGTGTCCTGTAGTGACCGTCCCCTGCTGACATCAGCCGAACAGTCGCGGGCGTCAGCTTTAAATATTTTACCTTTCGTTGTGTCTCTCTACCCAGCAACATTAAACGACTCAGTAAATAAATCCTACAAGACAAAGACAACGTTTGATAGCTGATGCCATCGAATATTGTCTCTACTTGGTGGTCAAGTATTCAGACGTTCAGACACTGTAAACCTAATCACCTAGGTAACCACGCTGGAAGAACACAATATTACTGTAAAATCAACTTTGGTTGACCGTTGGCAGTTTGGATTTGACACAAAGAAGGTGAGATGTCACTATGGTTTACATTGCTATTGAATTACTTAATTACAAATTACTAACTTTTCCCCACTTTTCTTTAGCGATGTTGTCATCATGTCATGGATGCAGATCGAAGGGTGAGTTGTGCTTGCATTTCTCCGATGTCACTGTTATTGGTCTGTACACAAGTTCACACATTTTATAAATATACGTCAGCCCAGAGAATAATCAGTCTCGAGGATCTGCCGAAATAGTTATGAATATTGCATCGATGGACCACTGAGTATCAGTGACGATAGCGAAAAGAACCACACACCCACATAAATTCATGGCATGATACCAAGATCATATCCGGTTGTTTTATTGAGAGTGAAGGTTTCCAGCTACACCCCATCGTGTCAGATTGATGTGAGAGGAAAGCCCAAAGTGATGCAGGGCTAATAAGACATTTACAACTTTGGTGAAACCCGTCAGCAGGCTCTGGTGCTGACAAACATAAAAGCATAATCGGGGTGAATCTGGGAAACAATTCTTCCCAGCGACCTTGACCACCCTTGTCTCTATCTAATTTATGGAACTTTCTTCATAAATGCATTTGACCTGCGTCACATGAAACAGTAACACTAAAGAACTGACCCCATGTACCTGATCTCACCTTCTCAACTAGTTGCCCGGCTACCACGTGTGTTTGTTGTCCTATGTCGATCTGTGACCCATCTGAAATGATTTAGAAAATATACTACTTTCTTTGAAGTATATTGGAATATATTGTTTAAATAATAATAATAGATATATGAGAAAGCTTTTTTGTCCAAACACTGTAAACATACTTTGAGACATATTAAAAAGATGAAGCTTGGCAAAACTGATCATCAAGGTTGACATTAAAGTTTCAAATGTCCTTAAAGTGAAGCACGACACTAGTCTCTGAGAAAATGGCATCACAAGTCAGTATCTCTTGTGTCCGCGACATGATGACTGCCATGAAACGTTTATAAAAGGAATGGATGAGGCGGTTGATGAAGGCCAAAGGCACTTGAGCCCACACTCTGAGGAACGCCTGACGCAGTTCAGCTGCAGTTGTCAGCCTTGGTTGGACGTCATTCAGCCGTCTTTGAATCTCGTCCCACAGGTGCTCAGTGGGATTTAAATCGGGACTTGATCAATGTACAGACCTGCTGTGACACCATTGCTTCTCCCTGGACCGTTTTACTGGAAGACCACAGGGCCGACCCTCTGTGCAAGACCAACTCACCCCACCCCACACCATCTTGGTCGGAACACCCCACGAGTCTCTCTCAACAACACAAGCATCCGAATAACGTTTCCCACTGGCGTCGCCAGACTCTCTCTGTGCCATCTACTGTTGAGATACAGTAACGGCTCTCGTCTGAGAAGAGGACTCTTCCCCACTGCTGGTGGCGCCAATGCTGGTGCTGTGTTGCCCACTGAAGACGGTCCCGGCGATGACGTGGTGTCAGAATGGGTCCTCGGTGTGGCCTGTGACAATGGAGGTGTCTGCTCGTCAATCGTCGACGCAAGATGTCCGCACTAATGTGTCGCTGGTGTGTCCCCGTGGTTTGTCAAGCAGTTTCCGCAGCAGTAACAAAGCGATCTTGTAGATGCTGTTGCACAATCAGACGATCCTGACGTCGGGTGGTGACCCTTGGTCTTCCTCTACGTGGTCGGTCATCTGTAGTGTTGGTGATCTGGTACCGTTCCTGGAGCCTGTATATGGTCCTTACGTGGAATTGAAATGCATTGGCTACTTGCCGGGCGGTGTGTCCAGCTTGCAATCGTCCAAGTGCTTGGTGTCGCTGATTTCTTGTCAATCTTGGCAATGGTAGCACGTGCATCGGGTTACCATGGCTGTTGCCGTAATGCGTTTGGGCGATCGGTTTTATTGTCATCTGTTTGGGGGGTTTTGTCATCAAAATTCATTTTTCCGTACAAGGTAATGTTACATTTTAGAAACTTTGACAAAAATTACCCAAATATTTAAATGACAACTTTTCATGCAATGTTACTTGGAGTTACGTTTCTTTTGCGGTTCAGTATAATAATAATCTCAATGTCAGTGTTGATTTTCTTGATGGTTCTGTACTGCTGGACGGTACAGAAAAGAGTGACATCCAAGCTAAGTGCCCAGATCAAATCGGCCCAGACTCAGTTTTTCAAGGAGAGGCTATCTAGAACGACCACTGCATCGAGTTTATGTGCAGTGTGTTGAAAGGATCAGCAACCCTGCAGAGTCCTCCGCTTGGATGAAGTCGTCTGGCCTGAAAAGTGAAACAGAAGGCTTTTTGTTTGCTGCTCAGGACCAGTCACTTCCCACTTGAAACCATCAATGTGTGGTTTGGCATCAAAATATGAAAATGAAATGTGAATTTGCAATGAATTTAATGAGACTGTCCAACACATTGTCAGCGGATGCCCTGCTTTGGCACAAACACGGTATCTTAAGCGACATGATAGAGTGGCTAGATAATTTTATTACCGTTTTCGCAATGCTTGTCGTTTTGACACAGAGGTCCATGCATGGTACGACCCAGCATATGTAGAGGGCGTCATGGAAAATGAGAAATACAAAATTCTTTGGAATAGGCCCGTATATAGCCTCAGACGTATCCAGGCTAACAAAACCTGATCTTGTCCTTTGTAATAAATCCAATGATCATTTATATCATTGAATTTTCTGTCCCTTCACACAGTAATGTGATTCAGGAAAAACATTGCAAATATGCGGACCTCGCTTTCGATATGCTTGCTTGCCTCTGTGACGCCTGTTTACTTCACTTTCCTCTGTCCCGCCTGCTTGCCTTTGTGACGCATGTTTACCTCACTGTGCTCTGTCACGCCTGCTTGCCTCTTAGAAGCCTGTTTATCTCACTTTCCTCTGTTGCTTGCCTGCTTTCCTCTGTGACGCCTGTTTACCTCACTTTCCCCTGTGACGCATGTTTGCCTCACTTTCCTCTGTGACGCATGTTTGCCTCACTTTCCTCTGTGACGCATGTTTGCCTCACTTTCCTCTGGGACGCATGTTTGCCTCACTTTCCTCTGTGACGCATGTTAACCTCACTTTCCTCTGGGACGCCTGCTTACCTCTTAGACGCCTGTTTATCTCACTTTCTTCTTTGGCTTGCCTGCTTGCCTCTGTGACGCATGTTTGCCTCACTTTCCTCTTGGACACATGTTTGCCTCACTTTCCTCTGTGACGCATGTTTGCCTCACTTTCCTTTTGTGACGCATGTTTGCCTCACTTTCCTCTGTGACGCATGTTTGCCTCACTTTCCTCTGTGATTTGCCTGTTCGACTCTGTGACACCTGGAAAAGGTTTTGTAGCTTTTATTTATCAGTTGATATCACGCCGTTTACATTTCCTGCCCACGAGATAGCCTTGCCGCGATCTGGGGCGAAGTCCGTTTTACCGATCGTTGTCCTAAACCTGCGCAAATGTTTGCCGTTGCGTGTATCAATTAGTAGACAGGAACGTTTATATTTGCGGAGCCTTCTACCAAAACGCTTTCTTTCACAAATATACGCTTGTCCCTATGAATTTCGTTTCACAGAAGACTAACATGCTAACGATTGGCTAAATCCTTTTTATTCAACCGAGTCAACAATTTCTGTCAAGAGTGTTTGGCTTTACAGAAGTAACAAAATCTGCATAAGCCCAAATTATGTTTTGTTAGGAAGTTAGCTGATCTTCATTTCTTATAATTCACCATTTACCTTATCAACCATAGATGAAGTGGTGGTATCCCACAGGCACATTATACATACACAGATTCCCTTCCACTGAAGAGTCAATGGAGGGAACACCAGGGGAGTCCTCGTTAATGTCGATTGCCTCCCTTGGAATACCGTCCACAATTTGTACAGAATCACTTTCTACTGCAACATGTGCATACGTTTCCAAACAAACTTACATCACCTTCATGTTCTGCGTCATTTGCTCGCGTGGATCGCGTATATCTTCATCTTCATAACGTAACATTTCAACCATAAAGTCCTTAAAAAGAGTACACACACACACATACACACACATACACACACACACACACACACACACACACACACACACACACACACACACACGCCAAATAGCCCCTCATAAAACGCCCCCCTACCACCCACCCACCGAAAAAAAAGCGTGAATATTATTAAATGGCCGGCCCTTACGATGAGGGGTACCTTCACGTCTTCCTTTCGTCTGATTGATGAGGAAGAGTGGATGAGGAAGAGTGGAGATGTTTTACTAGGATCACTGGATTAGAAATAAATGTGAGTCTGTAAATACACACGTAGGTAAACTTCAGGAATGGACAGTTCTTGTGTCGTGTGGCTGCGTCGTTATATGCACTCACTCACTCACTCATGAGGAGATCGCCTATCATTACACAATGTGCATGTCCCATCTTCCTATTTGCACAAGAACAAACTAATATTTGGATGATATGTTTTTAATATTTGCTGCTGCAGCTACAGTATTGCTGACTGCAATGTGTGAAGACCATTTCTTGCATCCCCGGCCGAGATGTCTCCGAAATATTACTAAAACTGCGTAAAATCATACTAAAAAAACTCACTCACTGATCCTGCTTTTTCTTTAATGTTTGTATTCAATGATGTGCCTATGGTCTCTTTAGTATCTACACAATGCTCATCTAACTATAGTTTTAATTCACCCCCTGTTGCTGCCCGCTCGTGATATGCCGGTATGAATCAATGAACGAATTTCTTTATTTCCTCCGGAATTAACATCCGAGCAAATGCATGGTGCTAGTACATATATAAATATGAAAGTACAAGATTCGATAGCTACAGTAAATCCAAATTTTCATTAAATGCTGAACCATATGTGTTTTGAAAAAAATATTCGATGCATAGAAGATACTTAGTTCTTATAAGAACTGGAGGTGCAAAAAACTACAAAAATGTTGGAAGATGGAAAAATGTCGAAAAATGTAAAAGAATCTGTCAGAATTGTAATTTGAATGAGTTAGAGGATGAATTCCACATAATAATGAAATGCCTGTTAAAATGATTTGAGAAACCTTTTTGTACCAAAGAAATATTTAAGCAAATGCACATCCAAATGTTTTTTTAATTTAATTAATGATTATGATCCAGCTATAGTAGAAATCTTGTTAAAATTTTGTAAAGCTTCACTTGTAAGGAGAGCATGTATATATGTATATGATAAACCGCAATCACCCTTGATGTATATTTTGTATTTTGTATACTTTGTATACTTTGTATATGGGCCTGAGGCCTCAAGTACAAAAAAGATTGATTGAATATATAGTTATCATCAACGTTATATTTACAAAAGTGAGAAATATTGTGATGTAATTTGGGGATAATCTGGTACATTTTTCAAATTTAAGATATACACATAGAATAGTAATTATATACCACCCCATGTACGTTGGTTCCAGATTGTGCAAGCATATTATTCTCTTCCAGAAGTTCAGTTTAAACATAACTTTCAACATTCCTTTTGTCTATGCGGGTGGAAAAACATTCAATTCGACCATTTATTAAATATTCACAGTGTAGTAGGACATATTTGTCATAATCATAGGCATGCCTTTCACATTCAGAACATTCTCTTGATGTCATGGGTCTGGAGGCTATCTTAAGAGAGTATTGGATGCAATACCTAAGATCAGGATATGTTAATGCTAGTTTCTTCAATACATTTAGTTAAAGATTTGAATGAATGTACCTGTATGTGACAAGATCTTCTATCAGTGGCAGGTTCCACCGAACATTCTCATGAAAGGATATTGCTTAACATACAATTCATCTCCATTCAATTTTGCAATGAACTATTCCAGTACTGATAAAGTTCAAAATGACATGTGGAAGGTTACATTTACAAGGAGTTAATATCATTATGTCACATATGCTAGTGACATTATGAACATTGACTAAAGCTAAACTAAGTATACGCATATAATATGCTTAAATGAAGAGTGGACATTTTAACGTTAAATTTACAAGGAGAAAATATCTTTATGCCACATATGCTAGTGCTAATTTTGACATTATGAACATTGACTAAGACTAAGCTAAGTATGCACATATAATGTTTCATTGCAGTGTAGCATGAGTTGTACAGAATCCTCCGAGGAGTCGTAGCCTGCATTTGTCTACGTATCCTGTTAGTGTTCACATTCCTAGATTCGCTATGGCTGAATCAGTTGATGATGTTGGTCTAGACCTTGAATGGCTCTGGCAAAGTGCTGTTGAGAATTCTCTATCTGAATAGTATCTTTACCATGTATGCCGCTTAGCAGCTCACATGCATAGAAGCTGGTAGAGAGAACCATTCGGTTCCATATTTTAACACATACAATAGGGTGGAGATCATAACTATGTAATCCTACAAACGTGAGTGAGCTTACTGTGCGTCCTGTGTTTTGTCAACGTCGCACTATCATATTTGTACATGCAAGTTTAGTGTTTAGGATGACTCCCCCATATGTCACACTATCACATGTATCCTTGGTAGGAACGCTACCCAGCTGAAATTTGAATGGATTATGTTTCACCTGCGTAAAACCTTACTCCCTCACTCACTTATCCTGCTTTCTCTTTCATGTTTTATTCAACGATGTGCCTATGGTCACTATCTATTCCATGCTCATCTAACTATTGTTTCAATTCACCCGCTGTTGCTGCCAGCTCGTGACATGCCGGTATGTATTTGGATTGATATTGTATTGCTGCTATGCGGCCACAACTGGCCACAATGACTACATTACTAAAATGCCAGTATATATTACATAATTATACGTTTACTCAAGCACGCACGCCTAGACAGGAGATACATGTCATATTCATTATGCACTAATACATGCTACACATATTCCTCCGGTGTTACGCTTCTCTGGACCTTTCTACACCAATGAGTTTAACTTGAGCGTAAGATCTGGAGAGTAAGAGTGGAGAGAAAGAGAGAGAGAGATAGAGATAGAGAGAGAGGGTGGAGAGAGACACACACAGAGAGAGAGACAGACAGACATAGTATATATTAACAGTTATACTGTGATGTTATTAAAGTTCCTTAGTGTTCTAAAAAAATGTTTTTTGCTCTTCTGCAGGAACAGGAAATAACTTTACATCCATCCTTGCCTAAGAAAGTTTGCCATTACTGCATACACAAGTCTTTTCTTTTTCTCAACATACATATATAACTCAGTATGTGTCAGGTTGGAAACACCAGAAGGTCGATCGCTGTAAATGACTACATGATAATAAGTGATATATTTACAACAATTGTAACATCAGGAGGACACGAGTCATGGCTCTGACACTTTGCTAGATTTGTGTTAAAACTAGCAGATGTTACATTCTCCTTCTCAAACTCAGAATCCTGGAAGCTCCTCTCCTTTATGCATGTCCATTTCGTTCAGATACTGACTGAGAGTGTGATCATCATCCTGTAGCGATGCCCCATCGTCTGGAAATTTAAACCTCCCTAAGATGTCGAAGTGCACAATGTAGCAGGGGAGGATGCAGTCATCCTCATAGATGACAATTTCTTTGCCAAACGGATCAACATGGGAGTCGTATCCTGGCTCCTTAGGCGCGCCCAATTTCAAGTTTTCACACTTGAAGATCTGAAAAATCATGCATGCTGAATAGAACACGTAACAATGAAGAGTAAGTATGTCGCTGTTACATTAACTATGCCGTGACTGCATACCTTCTATGGTTGTTAAGAATTAATTTGAATGTATTAGTTTTAAACTTTTTCTTGGATTTAATCATTTATAATTGTTCTCGTTTGTTTTGTAGTTACACTATAACATTGGTTTTTGATATCTTAAGTTGTTTTCCTTTAACGAACATATCCATATTTAAATCTAACCTTTCCTTGAAGAACTTTGCACAACAACAGCTTGCAAGTCTTTTGCATATAATTCATGGAAAATCTTGGGTATTTACTGAAGTAGATGCCATTCCCGTACCACCCAACGTCAGTGACTTCTTCGAAGTAGGGATGATCTGAAAATGTATAGTTTCTGCAAATGTAACTTGGTCCTTTTTAGGAAGAAACCAAATCTCTCATTTCACTTATTCTGTTATGTATATATTTTTCACTAATTACCGCAGGTTAGAGGAATATAATTTGAAAACACTTTAGTGATTTGATAGTTCTGAGTGAGTGAGTTTGGTTTTATGCCGTTTTTAGCAATTTTCAACTAATATTACGGCAGGGCACACATTAACACATTGTACCCATGTTGGGAATCGAAACCGGGTCTTCAGCATGATGAGCGATCGATTTAACCACTAGGCTACCCCACTGCCCATGACGTAGTTATGAGCTGTCGGTATACACTTTGAAGTCACGCATATCTAAATTGTAGGTATTTACTTTTACTTTGTAACGAGTTTAAACTTCCATTCAGGTTGCTCCTATGTATATGAAAGTTCAAACTTCAGTAAGGGGAAGTGAATTCTTAATTTTGACAGATGCTAATTTCTCAGGTCTTATTTGAATGTATAAATGTTTTCTAACATATTCCAAATATTGAAAAATTCAAAAGACGTTTACGTTTACAATAAAAACATATGTCTTCGTCCACTATTTTCCACAACTGATCGCAGTGAACAAACCTGGTTGCCGGAATCCTTCACGACAGATACTTTTAATATTATCTTCGGCAGTTCCATGAAAACCAAGAAGGGGATTCTCAAATCCAGTTTGCTTATTAGCCATCCGTCGTTGCGCTGCTCTGAAAGAACACACACTCAATGTTGTGCCTCTGACTCAATCATGGTCATACATTTACTACATACATGTGAAAAAGGCCAAACCTTTCAAAAGCTACTATGATTCCTTTTCCTCTATGTGTGGCATCGTATTTATACCGTTGAACACATTTATTCGTGCTTACCTAAATTGCTTCACAAGTGCAGGGTTCACCACATATTCGACCTTTGTCAGTTTGAATGTGTGTCTGAAGCATGAAAATAGTGAACGTTACGTTGGTAAAATAAATTGACGGGAAACAGTTCTAATAATAAAAATATATTTAAATGTATTCACAAAGAAACATTTGCTTCCTGCTGCAGATTTACATAAACATAAACATTAAATTTTAGCAAAGTGACGTCACTGGTATTTTGATGTATCTGATGTGTAAGAAAATATACATGGAACATCATCGTCAATCTAGCAGGTGATGTAATTACACATAGACACTGTGTCGGTTTCACATTAGAAGCTAAAGAAATAAAGGCCAGATCAAGAAGAAAACTCTCTAAAACTGATTTTATTTTCATCACAAATACAAGGATTCTCTCACATTTTTGGCGATTTATGTTTTGATCAGTCGCTAACAGTGACGTAAATCTGCCAGCGCGCTTTCACAGTACTGACAAACATTTCATTTTTTCATTAACTAAAAAAATCTCCCTTCAACATAATATATTTTATCTCACCCTCCACACATGTAGTCAGTGACTACCATCAGATAATCACGATATGGCTGAAATATTGCCGATGTGACTTTAAATATTATTTCACTTAACTAACCATCAGATACATCGACTTTGTTCATGTAAATAATAGCAACAAAAGATCCGTGAAGATCTGGGATAGAATAGGTCTTCAGCAACCCATGCTTGCCGTAAAACACGACTATGCTTGTCGTAAGAGGCGACGGACGGGATCGGGTGGCCAGACTCGCTGACTTGGTTGATGCATGTCATCGTATCCCAATTGCGTGGATCGATTATCATGATATCAAAAACTCGATTATTTACAGACCGCCACCATATAGCTGGAATATTGCGGAGTTCGCCTTTATAAAACAAACAAAAAAAGCGACAAAACCAATTTCATATACACAACAAATTTGATAATATGATACAAGTCAAAATAGACAATTGCGTCAAACATTATTTTGGTCACTGACGCGTCAAATTTAGACATGTCGTCAACTTTTTAAAAGCTTTGCTGAGACCTTGAATGTTTTAACCCTGATCAAAGAACTTTTGAGTGAGAGTATTTTTTCACTCCGCTTTTAGCAATAGTCCAGCAATATCACGACGAGGGACCACCAGAAATGGAAAACTACTTTTGAGAAAGAGTCACATGACGCACTTGGAAATCCTCATGGATTGAATTTTTATGCACAGATCTAAATATGAAACAGATGAAGCGTTTCTATTTCAGGTGGGTAAATCAGTGGAAGGGAAATTCCCTTGCAAATCTGAGGTATCAAAGTATCAAAAAGTAAATGATTTTTTGTCGTGTGTGCAAAACAAGAATTCAGGGTCAATTACTTTAAATGAATCCTTATCATCGTATAATAAGAAACCGGTAGTCAATTAAGTTTCCACCTGTCACATCAATGAATCAAGTCAAATTGATTTACTATTTATTCATATAAATACACTGCTGTATGTTTATCAAAAGGGTAATCTATTGCCACCCCAATTGTATTCTATCGGTTACCACCTGGTTACCTGTTGACACTGTCTTTCGATAGGAAGCTGAAGAACTGAGACTCGACCACACTGTAGTGGCTGTACTCTGGTGTGTTGCGAAGAATGGGATTGTTTGTCAGCTCAAAGTACTTGACTGTCGTTCCTTCCAAAGCGGCTTTTTCTCCAGTGACATATGGTGTCTCGCTGAAGGGATGCTGTTAGTTGTATTTATGGAAATATTAGATTAGCTATGCATGGAAGGTAGATATCATAGATTGTGAATATTCGTTCGTCACATATACTCGGAAAACAAGTCAGAAAAAAAGACAATGAAACATTATTCAAATGATTAAACTAGAGTGTAATTTTGCTTGGACATAACGTCATATATAAGTGAATTAGATGATGGCGTCCCAGGGCAAATGGAAGCCACAACATGGAACACTCCTGTCTGGTCACTGATTCAGACCAATACCATGATCACCAAACCATCCCATGAAGCGCTCTTCAACACAACTCTCTACAATCACCAGCGTACACCTCTTACTTTAACTGCTGTGGAAATACAATATCAACTCTCATTTGAGAAACGGATCCTTTTTCCTCTGCCACTTGTGCCAGTTGCGACGTTTCATAGCTCACTGTAGTCTATTTTGACGATGGCAATAATTTGGATGGCAGTAGATGCCCCCAAATGCAAGGCGTCATAAAACTGAGCATGCGCAACATTTCTTGTTGAAGATTTGGAAATTCAAACCCTCCGAAGCTTTTCTCATTGTTATTGATGATTAGAGATAGTTTCTGTGTCATTTAGGAACATGTTAGGTACGTGTAGGAGTGACACGGAACACGTCCATATGTTCTGTTATTGCCCACTTCTTTATTTCAAGCACAGGTTAAGGAAATGGGGTCTTACTTCAGATAGCTAGCAGGGAAAAGTAACTGTGCTTCATATAAGTGAGTGGGTGAGTTGGGTTTTATGCTGCTTTTAACATTATTCCAGTTATATCACAACGTGTCAGCTTAATGGGGGAGGAAAGCCCGAAGTGAGGCAGGTCTCAGCCGTTTTCCACTTCGGTGAAACCCACGAGCACGGGTATGGTGCTGACAAACCTAGAAACATAACCGGGATTCGAACCCACAATCGCCTTAATCGCCCCCTGCTTCATATAAAGTGGTGTAAATGTTATATTATACAGTAAATAATAACGTTATATTTGGTCATTCGTCTGATGGGTGGCACATGGTCCCGTGCACAGCACACCGGTCACAAATCAGGTGGAGTTTAGCAGAGTTGGCTGCAGAGAATAGTTGGATTGATGATCGTGATAAGCAGCTTGACTCCTGAGAGTTTCTAGGGCTCCGATCTTGACCCACACTTAAGGACATGTAGGACATGTGGTGTCACCTTAGTCAAGTGACTTTGTTCCAAATGTGCCTTTGTTCACCCAGCAGTGAATGGGAACCGGGTGTGATGAAGTGGTAATGTCTCACAGGCACATTGGGCGTATATGGGCGTATCGCTGGACGTTGGGGCCACACGTTGAGCTCTGTTGATGCACCAACCGAATATGGTTGTTTTATTGAAGTGACGTCACTCTTAGACTACCGGCCCGGGGAATGTCATGAGTGTTGCCCTGATATAGATAACGTCACCAAAGAGATGATTTTGTGTTTCGAAGAACATTTCTTGTTTCCAGCATACCAACGGCGCGTTGACATTGGTCTTCAGCAAGCCTTGGCATTGCGAAAGCGTTATTAACAGTTAAACAAAACTGTTGTGATGAGCAGATGATAGCAACACAATCACAATGTGCTGTTCACATTTCAAATTCACGTTTGTGAGTATCATGCTCCCAACAAACACATCCGAATTTTGCACCATGGATCAACATGCACGTGCAATTTGTAAATCATGACCATAAAGTCGAGTAGATGTCTCGTGAATTTGTATTTAAAGATGTATTATTATTCAGAATATAGTAATTTTTATTGAAGTTCATACGAAGCACAGTTACATTTTCCGTTGGTAGTAGTTGAATTTATTTTGGCTCTATATTATTTGTTGTCATAATGAAAGGTTATACTTACTTTCTGTCCTAGACCATAGGGATCATTGGTTCCTCTCATTGATGCTCCACCTAAATTATCAGTGCAAGTAAAACTGTCACATCCTGATTTTCACTTGAAACTTAATAATGCCATCTAACTATGGATGTTATACAAAAGGTATCGGGAACTAAGATCAATTTGGCCTCCGTTCACCCAGCAGTGAATGGGATGTGAAATATTAGCCCTTTTTCATGATCATAAGAAATTAATCCAACTATATTATAAGCATGTGTTGATGAATTATTATCAATTAGTGATGATACCAAGTGTAAATGTGTCCTGCACCACCTGGGGATGTAGTGGAGTTTTCTTAGAAGTCATTATGTGAGACACAGGACTTCCGCATTGATAGTATATATAAGAACATTGGGTACAGCACATTTAGGCAAGAAGTAGGCATCCCCAATAGGCATCATTCCGACCTTTTTACTGGACAGTTTCTTTCATGCATATGAATCAGAATTTCTACTCGGATTGGCAAAAAACAAGGATGCTTGGGTTCATTCAGGTATATCAATGATCGTATATCCTTCAACAATTGTCAAATAGCTAATTCCCTTCCACTAATATACCCACCCGAACTAGAAATATAGGTGACCATCGAGGCCGCCTCCCCTGTTTCATATTTTGATCTTTACATAGAGATTCATAGAGACATTCAACTTCCTCTTCATGTCGAGCAATGTTTCCAGCAGCTCCAGCCTTTGGTGTCTACATTTCACATCTTTTGGGGTACAATCGAACGTGCTCTTCCTACGGAAATTTCAAAGAGCCTCATACGACTCTTGCTCAAAAGTTGTTTTATCAAGTTTACAACAGTCAAGGCTTCAGTAAAGCTTGCAACCCGTTTTATGGAGGACATTTCCAAATTGACTCATTAGTGCCAAAAATGGTGTCAATTCCCTATTTTGATTAGAAACTGACTTGAATTTGGATTTGTTGGGGACGTGTGTCACCGGTGGGGCAGAAAATGCCCACCTTGTCGCGAACACCTGATATCATTACTGTCTGATGGTGATTAATAGACTCATGCTTATGATATAGTGGGGAATCATAATTTAGATTACAAGAATTTGTATTTTCTCTGCAAAAGTGTAATTCCAAATATAATATTTGTTACATTTGACACTAAAAGGCATTGTCTATTCATACCTTCCGGTTCTTCGATCTTGCTGACGTGTGCTTCCACAACCTGAACAAAGAAATAGAACAACAATGTTCCGAAGTTCAACTGAATAGTATATGAAGCTAGACAACCTTTACATGAGTATGTGATGGCACCGTACGTACCTTACCTGGTTTAATATGTTAGTGGTGACAGTTATATGAACAGATCACTGAAAATCAGTGATGACACCAGGGGTTCCGAAAAAGGGTAAGCATATCCTGCCTCCCGGTAAAACTGTGATTACATTTTGAAAATGGCATCACGTTTTTTCTACGGGCTTTTTCGAATCTCTTCGAAAAAAATCAAAGGTCAAAATTAATGGGAACACGCCTGCAGTTTCTTATACCTTGTGTTATGTTAAGGGCCATTCATGCCGTACAACTACATAGTACATTATGTTGTATGCAATTAGATGTACAAACTGAACTTGTATAATTTTTTTACGGCATTTTTACGGAGGCGACTTGCATACAACACGAATCGCGATGATTTTATCTGACTGAAAGCTTAAAAAAGTGATTGGAACCCGATGTATTAGTTTTCAGATGCAAATTTACATGTTCTGATGAATGAAGGTTGTTCGAGAATGATGGTCGCGTGGTAATAAGCCAAACTCTGACTCTGGGAATTAATTGTACAATGTTCAATTTTCTATCCCATGCTGTAAAATTAATTACTTTTTATCGTAAACACAAACAGTGCGATGGCCATTTGTTTTTGACATCTTTATGTAAACTGTGAGCGAAATCAACGTGTAAATATCTCGTTTTGATGGCCTGCATGCGTACAACTTGTCGCATGAAAGCGTGTCCCATTTTGCACAAAACACGTCCAACAAGTTGCATACGTTTGGTGTTGGTCCGACCTGCAGGTTATCACGATGCAATGAAGTTCAGTTTCAGTTAATCTGCCTGTTGCCTATCTATGTTAAGCCTGTTGAATTAAAGAATTAGACATGCTTAACTCATATATGGTTCAATGTAGAAGATATGCCCCCTTCCCAAAATATGCACCTTTCTTATGCTTTCGTCTTTTGGGTGAATAACAACGGATACAGTTTCCAGAGAGGTGTTGGGATGGTTGTCTATGAAATTCTTGAATGCTGCCATCATCACCGTGGTTGATATTTCAGGGGGATATTCAGCAAAACCAGTTCCCAGGAGTGGAAAGCTGATTGATTTGAAGCCCTGTTTCCTTGCCTCGTGTAAACAATTTGTGACTATTGCGGCAAAATCCTGTTGAAAAATATATTATATTATACAGTTACTTGTACTTGAGTTACGGATTGATTAGAACATAATTACAAAATAATCAGCGAATACCAAATTGTCAACGCCAGAGAATAAGCAGTCTTGAATATCTTCCCGGATTCAATGGGGCATTAACAGCAATAGAGTGACAAACATTATTTGAAGGGATCACTGTAAATCAATGATAACACCAGGTGTTCGCAAAAAGGGGAAGTATGTCCTGCTCCAGCGGTAGCACCCGCCACTCAACCATTATTTTTTATAAAATGTGAATGCCAGTCAGCAAGGAGGTGTGAAAACTCCTTGTTTGTTTGTTCGTTTAACGCCGCACTCAGCAATATTCCAGCTATATGACGGCGGTCTGTAAATAATCGAGTCTGGACCAGCCAATCCAGTGATTGACATCATGAGCTTCGATCCAAGCAAAGTCAGCGAGCCTGACAACCCGATCCCGTTAGTCGCCTCTTACGACAAGGATGTGTTTTTGAAGACCTATTCTACTCCGGATCTTCACGGGTCGAAAACTCCTTGTAGTCACAGTATGGCATATCATCGCACATCAAAGCATCATTTAAAGCAAAATGTATCTTTACGTGAATTTGTAACAGCATGTACATACAAGTATATACAAAAATTGAGAAATGTACACGCCATAAGCAGTAAATTTACATGACAGGAAAATCGAAATCACCTCTCTCTCGTTGTACAATTTTGTACAGAGGCTGCCATCATTTTCAACTTCTATGCACAGATACAGATAAGACACTGAATATTGTTCTTTGATCTACAACTCTGGTTAATAGATGCAATGAAGGTGATTAATTATACGTAGTCATCTATACATCTAAAACTGTGGTTATTTCTTTGGATTAAATACAATTATAAAACAAATCGATTTGTATACAAACAGAAACAGATTGGCTAGAAGAGGAACACAGAGACAAAAGAGCATGGGAGGTGTAGCAACTCAACTATGATAGTCTCTCTTACATTGCCCATCTTGAAATTGGTAACCCATTTAGTGTAATATGAATATTGCTTTTCACGTTTGTGTATAATATATGTCTAGCTTATAAACAAACAGTATTTGACAGATGCGAATCCGTTGTTCCAGTTAAAAGTTAACTCAATCTCGTCACCGTTTCAATGCCTTATTTGAAAATTACCATGTATTGCCATCTTTCATTCTTTATTATTATTCTCCTCGTAATGCCCAATCTTTACAGCAGGTAGAATTACACTTGGCTGATGACATTGCAAACATGGGTGTCTCTTTATGTATATACAAACACAAGAACACATTAGGAACATTTATGTGAGTGGTGTTTATGATGCAAGGGAATTACCGTCAGTGCTTTCTTGTTCTCCTGTGCCCACACTTCTAGAACGACATGGAATACTTTCTTGCATGCAAGCTTCCCACCTTGTGTCTGTACCAGTGTCCCTGCCTTTACACCCGATGGGTACTGCTGTCTGCACTCGTCTTGGAGAACCTGGCCTCCAGCTTCAAGGAGAGATCCAGACACAGCACCAACGGACAGTTCCAGGTCAGTCTGGGTTGTGTTCACTAGGACATCAGCCTATCAATTGAAGTATGCATATTACTGACTTCACTATTTTCTGTGACCCTCTGTGATATTAATGATAAACCTGTTCAATTATTTATTTACTTTGATGAATTCATGTAGTTCTTTACTGCTTACTGCAAGTTTCCTTCTCTATCTTATTTACCTGGTTAAAATCACCAATGCTTCAATATTGTAACACAAATGGTAGTTTATATAATAAATTCTTACTTACCTTTGACTTAACAAGTAGTCCTGCAATAACCCAGACAGCCAGTCCTGCAGCCAATTGAAATTAGCTGTAATCTTACAGACATCACTCAAGACCAACTATCGATTTTATAAGTCAAAGTTCTTATTTGGGAGTGAGTGAGTGAGTAAGGTTTAACGTCGCTTGAATAGTGTCATTGCGTGCCAGCAAGATGTGGGAGGAGAGTGAATGCAGGTCTTTGACGTTAAATACTTTGGTGACAGCCAAACGAGGTGGCGCTGACCAACGTAGAAATACTCAGATCGAACTTAGGATTCGAACCACGATCATAAGTTTCTAGCACAGCGGCGATCACACGTGCTCCCTCCTATTTGGCGTGTTGTTCCCTTATAAAATGTTTCAACACTGTACACCATAATACAAGTAAGAAAGGTGTCTGTCTTAGACAACAAAGAAACTTATTGATATAAATCAGACTGAGACTTACTTTTATTGTGTGCCGCTCGGCTATTGAAAACTATCTCCGTAAGTTTTGAGTTGTCAAATGTCACCGAAAGTCCCTGTCGCCTTGCTTCAAATTCCTAATAAAAAATATTCATCTGGCATAAGCCTGAATCGTTTCAGATAATATGTGAAATATATGTGATGGGCCTTTTTCACACATTATCTGGATAAGTTGAAAAACAAGTTGAAAAGTGTAAAAAACAACACAATGGCACTCGAGTTTTTGCGAATTTGACATGAGATGAGCACATGAGAATTAGTAACAGTGATAAAAATGATGTCCGATGCAATTCCCTATTCTGACTATATGTGTTCGTGTATTTGCAGGAGAACACTTGACTTGCCTTTGCATTTGTTTGTGGTGGGTGTCACCGGTGGGCCAGGATACGCGTTTACCTTAACGCGAACACCTGGTATCATCACTAATTGATAGTGATACATAAATACACAGCGACAAAAATCTTCTGCTGGCAGAAATTTCTTATTATTTTGGAAATGTTTTACATTTATCTGAAAAAGGGAACGATCCCTAACTTCTTAGTTAGCGCTATAGATTCCTATGAAAAGGTCAAAATAAACTGCCAGACAAAGGAAAATTGGATTTGATCAACAAATTACAAACGATATCAAAACGTAAATAGGCTGAAAATAGTCGCAAACTTATGGTCCAAAACACAACTGTAATACATCACCATCGAATAACCATTTCTTGTTTGTATTAGTTTTAGCCACCTTCAAACATGGGTCTATATTTTCGTCTGACAGGCAGTTTACTCTAAAAAGGAAATGATACATGTGAAATGCCAATTCATACTGTTATGTTGTGTTGATTGTAAGTTGCTGCAATTTGATTGAGGAGCTCATAAAATACGAGGTGTTCTCTTTGCCTATGGTGACACTCCCACGTCCTCTATATCCTCGCATTTCCGTAAACCTACAACAACCCCTGGATTCATTCCTGTGGTTCTGGCGACCTCAAATTACCTGCCATTGACTTTCATTAGCCAATTTACTCTGCTTCGCTAATCAGTCTAATGGACCAATCACAATTCGAGTTTCAAAACAGCCTCATGGTGAGTTGGCGATATCAACAACAACATGGCGGCTAGTCACATTAATTACGACTGAGTTTACCAGAAATTCAACATTGAAAAACTGCCAGTTACAGTTGTTGACAGACTACCTTAATCTCCATCTTCACAAAGTCTCTAGAAGACTGGCGATACGAGGGCGATTCGAGTTCTTCCTTCAATGATTTGACTTGCTACTTATCAACTTGCCCAGTGCGGAAGGAATACCTGTTTCAAGCATTCAAGAACGGAGCACGTGCCTCAATCAAAAGTTTCAACTGTAACAAATATTGGACATTTGTGAGTACACTTATTGGCATTGTAAGGTCTGTTTTAAACCGCTGCTGCCAGATATTGTACTAATTGTATTACCTTTTGTGACTGTAAACCTAATCCTGTGTATTTCAATATATTGCGTTGATTGCTCATTGATCATGTGTGGTTATTAAATTATTCACAATTTAGTTCTGTACGTACCGATTTCTGGGTTAACCTTCACGTTTCAGTTTGGGAATCGAGACGTAACAATACTACTTCGATTCAAATAATCTGTTTAAGTTACTGCAGTTTGTTAATCAATATCAAATAGTGATGATACCAGGAGTTCGCAAAAAGGTGAGCGTATTCTGCCCCAACGGTAGCACCCGTCACAAACACATGCAAAGGCATGTCAATTGTTCACCTGAAAAAAAACACAGAACATACAAGTACAAGTCGTATGATGCTCTTTGAATCTTCCTAGAACTTGCACGCAAATGAGTCTGTTTTACTGACCTCTTATTTCTGGTTCAGGTGGATAATTCAGCGGAAAGGAAACGGCTATTTGACTGTAATTGAACGATATCAGATTATCGATATATCTGAAGCCTAAGTTAAGCTAATATCCTTGTTCTGATTTTGCCAATGTGAGCAGACATTTCGATTCACATGCATAAAGAAACGGATCAGCAAGAAGGGGAATACGGTTGGTGTCCATGAGTTTCCTTAAATTTCCTATTTCACATAGATGTCATCTTTGGGGAAGTCCAGCAGTTCACATATTGTTCTCTATGCATAGTCAACATTTTCAACTTATAAGCTCACCTTTCTCATAAGCTCATTTGATGGGTGTACCACAAGCTTAACTGTTCTAAGAGTAGAATTAGTCTGCAAAAATGCTTCAACTGCAGTGATGATAATGTCAGCAGACCGATTTCCGGGGAATCTGTGAAACCCTGATCCAAGTGCAGGAAAGGCAATGGATGTAAAACCTTGATTGGAAGCCATTTGTAGACACTTGTAGACTACTCTCTCCAGGATCTAAAGAACGGACAATGGTACATCAGTGTTATATTTATATCTTGTCGTGAAGCTTTAGTTGAAGCCAATGACCATATCTGAATAATATAAGATAGTTTCGCGATAAATCGCAAAGAACAATGAAGAACATTCGAACATGCGCCCGCAGCTTGATGACGTCGTAAATTGGACGACTTTGTTTGGAGGGAAGTGTCTAGTAATCGCAATGGCCGAACGGTCGCATCCTCAAGGGGGAGAGATCTGACAATTGTTATTGGGAGAAAAGGTATGGATAATCGACGTTAACATCGATTTAACACACACACACACACACACACACACACACACACACACACACACACACACACACACACCTGTTCGTTACATGGACTTGTTAAACATTGCCTTGGTCGGAGACTATTCAGGTAGACTTCATTATTAAAATACGGGTAAATATTTCTAAAGCTTGTACATTTTATCAACATCCTTTAAAATGTTGATATCTCTAATAAGAAAACATACGACTCGAGGTCGTTGTTTTCTGAACAATAAGACACTGCAGGGAGAATAATCATTTCTTAACTAACATCCGGTTGGCTTGAAATACACCAAAAAAAACCCTGCAAAACAGAATTACATGTTTAATGAAACAGGATAACACAATAAATAATTAAGATACAACAAGCAAATTTCACACAGGATGAGGCACATGTTTCTTACACTACAAACAGTCTTGTAATGTTCTAAGGGACGTCTGTGTCTGTGATGGCACTGTGCCAAAGTCAGTACCGGGTGTTACCACCACGAGCATCGATCACACCTCTGCACCGCCTGGGCATGGACTGTATGAGTCGTCGAATCTGGCGTTGTGGAATCCTTCTCCACTCATCCTGCAATGCATGGTTCAGCTGTTGAAGCGTCTGTGGTTGAGGATGTCGGCGTCGTACAGGTCTGTCTGGCAGATCCCACAAATGTTCAATGGGGTATAGATCAAGCAATTTGGAGGGCCATGGCAGCACAGTAACATTGTTGTGGGCAAGATAATCCATGGTAACACGTGCAGCATGCGGTCTTGTGTTGTCGTGCTGGAAAATCTCTCTTCTGACGTCAATGGCGGGAATAAGGTGACGTTGAAGGATTTCATCACGGTAGCGTACAGCAGTTAAATTTCCCTGCACGTGCACCAGATGTGTCCTACCATTTACGGATATGCCTGCCCACATCATGACACTTCCACCGCCGTATCGGTCGACTTCATGAATACAGTGTCGAGTGTAGCGTTCATATCTCCGTCTGTAGATGCGCATCCTACCATCATGGCGATACAGCATAACCCCGCGACTCATCACTGAACCATATCCTTCTCCAGTGCACTAGGGTCCATGGTCGAACATTTCTGTCCCATTGCAGACGTGCACGACGATGATGTTGCCGCAGGACGGGCGCTGTATATGGTCTCATTGGCCGTATCCCATGCTGTCTTAGACGACTTCTGATTGTTAGCGCTGAGACTCTACGAAAACCAGGAACATTTTAAGCTGTGTATGCCTCACTGACTGTCCGGTTGCGAAGATGCAACACCCAGATGAAGCGGTCCTGCGCACAGTTGTGACCCTGGGTCTTCCACTTCTCGGTCGATCTCTAGTAGAGTTGTGGAGTCTGTAGCGCTGCCACACGTTAAAGTGCCTGGCTGACTTTCTCCAACTTCCAGACGTCCAATGACTCTGTTTCTACAGTCTTCATTCAGTCTTGGCATCATGAGAGTCACGTATACAGAACATCGGAGAGTGATTCGCATCAGCACTGCTAAATTTTTATACCCATCGGTATAAAGGTTAATTAGCCGTGTTTGCACGTGCATCATGCTTACAGCTTTTTCTCCATGCAATTTCTCCCAGTTTGGTTTCAAGATGCTGTATTTTGGCGACAAGTCACCAAATGTTGTGTTCGGGTGCAATAAATTAGTGTAAGGTCAATATTCACAGTTAGCAATGACATTTATATTGAGTTCAAGCCTTCATTTTGATAACAGTCAAGTTCGAAAAACAGATTTCAGCTATGCGTTCCTTTTTTGACCAGTATAGTACCAACTTTGATGTTAATGGATATGTTATTATTTCCTATTAACACGTAGTATGCCTTGTCGTCGTTGTACTGAACACGTAAAATTCTTAGCTGCCTGTATTAGATCTGTGGTAGTAATTATGATATGATGATATCTTACTTATCTATAAAAAAATGCTTATCAATTATCGTTTTAGTTCATGTTTATTCTTTTAACTGTGTCAAGTATATAAGGATATTATGAACATATTCATACCGTTTCAGCTGCATCATTTTTATTCATCCACTGCTTCAACACAACGTGGAACACCTTCTGGCACTGTAGTTTCCCCCCTGTGGTCTCAGCTATGCCGCCGACTTTCAGTCCAGAAGGACATGCTCTGGTCAGCTCCTCCTGCAGCCCCTTCCCTCCTGCCTCCAGGAAGGTGTAGGAGACGGTTCCAGCCAGGAGGTTGACATTAGTCCCGGTTGTGTTCACCAGGACGTCAGCCTGAAACAATGGTTGTAGCACATGCATCAGGTATAACGTCCATGTTTTAAGCTAACATCAGAACCGGTTTGGTCACCAGGACGTCAGCCTGTTGAAGACGACATAGCATATAACCTGTGCATATAGTGCTAACACAGACAGCCAAAGTAAAGGGTATCAGAGATGTACGGGATGCTTGTACTGATTTGTTATCTTGTGTTACAAATATATATCTGTTCGTCGACCATTTGAAGGAGAACACATGACTTGCCATGAAGAAACAGATGTTAAGATCAGCTTTTAAGATAATATTATATCCCCTTATGTATCACTACATGGAAACTAATACAAATGTCTAAATGTTTCTACATTCCAAATTTGTCGCATCAGTGACCAACAAGCAATGATAAAAGCAACTACCCATTTTGACTTGAACAAAACGGGCTTTGTTTTTTTTTAAGGTGAACATTTGACTTTCCATGTGTTTGTGATAAGAAACATGGGGCTGGAAATTGCCACAAATTGACAGTGATTCGTAAACATGTTTATGAAACGTAGTCGGAATCGAACAATGGAGATTTCGTATGATTTTGGAACTTGTTTGTCGCTTTTTCATTATAATAGCAAATGAATCGTTTCATTGGACATTGTTTCGCAGCACCGCCAATATAAACAAAGAAACACGCGTTCATCATGAATTTGTAGGAGATATACTAACATGCTCCTTCGCTATTTCTCCAGTTACAATACATATGGGCTGAGGCACAATCGGCAAACCTGAAACTGGAAGTATTTGTACGGAATCAAAAACACAGAGAAACATGAGCATGTTCACAGAAATATTACAAGCGGTACTTGATATATTTGTTTGTTATTCTATATAGTTTCGTTTACCTTCATATTCTATCATCTGTGCAATGATGATGAATTATATGTTTGCCCATACACAAAAACAGTACATCTGACATTTGATTTCATTGGTGTCAAATGTCTTCTCAGTCAAATCTACTATATTGTGCAGAGTTAAACAATGCAAACTAAGGGAGTTCATACTGTAACTATTTTTGTGAGTTGAAGCGTTCGATCGTTTGTCAAAGCTCCAGGTTTGATTTATGGGTATAATATGTGAAGTATCTTCCTGGTTTCCCATGCCGTGATATTGCTGGAATACTGCGAAACATTTTCAATTCACATTTAAAGAAACATGGTGATTCGCTATCTGACCTCCAACCTGTTTCAAGTTTGATCTATGAATGTGTTCTCCGTTGATAAAAGAAACATATTTCCATGTCGTTTTTTTCTTGTGTGTGTGTGTGTGTGTAAAAAGTATATGGTTTTGTAGCTGGACAGTCTTTGTATTGTATATATGGTAATTAAATATTAAGTCCGCGTCCTAACTATATCTGTTCGGGACTGAGATATGTATGTCTCCTATGTATATCTGAAGGAAGCAGCCTTTCACAAATTCGTTGTATGTCCTTGTATTCTAAATCACAAGTTAATCAAATTGCCTTGTGCTTTTCCCACTGCAGCAAGTCCTGATAGTGCAAAGGGAACTGAAAAAGAAAAAATATATCTATCAAGTTGAAAGGGTAAGGAATTAAATCACATCAAGTAAGAGATAACGTTATATACTGATGAATGCAATTAATAATATAGTGGTATATAGATATATATTATATCAGTATATTATGATATAATTTTAGCTGGATTTTGAAAACAGTTACTGATTACATATTCCTCTAGATTCACTTTATCAGACATATATCATAGATAAAGTTATTAAAAATAGAACATTATAAGTAATAGAAAATATAAATAAAATGTGACAACTTGTTTATTCTTTTGTGTGTGTGTGTGTGTGTGTGTGTGTGTGTGTGTGTGTGTGTGTGTGTGTGTGTGTGTGTGTGTGTGTGTGTGTGTGTGTGTGTGTGTGTGTGTGTGTGTGTGTGTAAAGTATATGGTTTGTAGCTGCTCCTAACAATATCTGTTCGGGACTGAGATATGTATGTCCCCTATGTATATCTGAAGGAAGCATATTTTTACAAATTCTTTGTATGTCATTGTATTCTAAGTCACAAGTTAGTCATATTGCCTAGTGCTTTTCCCACTGCAGCAAGTCCTGGTGGTGCAAAGGGAACTGAAAAAGAAAAAATATATGTATCAAGTTGAAAGGGTAAGGAATTAAATCACGTCAAGTAAGAGATAAAGTTTTATACTGATGAATGCAATTAATAACATACTGGTATATAGATATATATTATATCAGTATATTATGATATAACTTTAGATGGATTTTGAAAACAGTTACTGATTACATATTCCTCTAGATTCACTTTATCAGACATATATCATAGATAAAGTTATTAAAAATAGAACATTATAAGTAATAGAAAATATAAATAAAATGTGACAACTTGTTTATTCTTGTGTGTGTGTGTGTGTGTGTGTGTGTGTGTGTGTGTGTGTGTGTGTGTGTGTGTGTGTGTGTGTGTGTGTGTGTGTGTGTGTGTGTGTGTGTGTGTGTGTGTAGAGTATATGGTTTGTAGCTGCTCCTAACAATATCTGTTCGGGACTGAGATATGTATGTCTCCTATGTATATCTGAAGGAAGCATATTTTTACAAATTCTTTGTATGTCATTGTATTCTAAGTCACAAGTTAGTCATATTGCCTTGTGCTTTTCCCACTGCAGCAAGTCCTGGTAGTGCAAAGGGAACTGAAAAAGAAAAAATATATCTATCAAGTTGAAAGGGTAAGGAATTAAATCACGTCAAGTAAGAGATAAAGTTTTATACTGATGAATGCAATTAATAACATACTGGTATAAAGATATATATTATATCAGTATATTATGAATAAATTTTAGCTGGATTTTGAAAACAGTTACTGATTACATATTCCTCTAGATTCACTTTATCAGACATATATCATAGATAAAGTTATTAAAAATAGAACATTATAAGTAATAGAAAATATAAATAAAATTTGACAACTTGTTTATTCTTGTGTGTGTGTGTGTGTGTGTGTGTGTGTGTGTGTGTGTGTGTGTGTGTGTGTATGTGTCTGTGTGTGTGTGTGTGTCTGTGTCTGTGTGTGTGTCTGTGTGTGTGTGTGTTTATAAAGTATATGGTTTGTAGCTGCTCCTAACAATATCTGTTCGGGACTGAGATATGTATGTCTCCTATGTATATCTGAAGGAAGCATATTTTTACAAATTCTTTGTATGTCATTGTATTCTAAGTCACAAGTTAGTCATATTGCCTTGTGCTTTTCCCACTGCAGCAAGTCCTGGTGGTGCAAAGGGAACTGAAAAAGAAAAAATATATCTATCAAGTTGAAAGGGTAAGGAATTAAATCACGTCAAGTAAGAGATAAAGTTTTATACTGATGAATGCAATTAATAACATACTGGTATATAGATATATATTATATCAGTATATTATGAAATAACTTTAGCTGGATTTTGAAAACAGTTACTGATTACATATTCCTCTAGATTCACTTTATCAGACATATATCATAGATTAAGTTATTAAAAATAGAACATTATAAGTAATAGAAAATATAAATAAAATGTGTCAACTTGTTTATTCTTTTGTGTGTGTGCGTGTGTGTGTGTGTGTGTGTGTGTGTGTGTGTGTGTGTGTGTGTGTGTGTGTGTGTGTGTGTGTGTGTGTGTGTGTGTGTGTAAAGTATATGGTTTGTAGCTGCTCCTAACAATATCTGTTCGGGACTGAGATATGTATGTCTCCTATGTATATCTGAAGGAAGCATATTTTTACAAATTCTGTGTATGTCATTGTATTCTAAGTCACAAGTTAGTCATATTGCCTTGTGCTTTTCCCACTGCAGCAAGTCCTGGTGGTGCAAAGGGAACTGAAAAAGAAAAAATATATGTATCAAGTTGAAAGGGTAAGGAATTAAATCACGTCAAGTAAGAGATAAAGTTTTATACTGATGAATGCAATTAATAACATACTGGTATAAAGATATATATAATATCAGTATATTATGAATAAATTTTAGCTGGATTTTGAAAACAGTTACTGATTACATATTCCTCTAGATTCACTTTATCAGACATATATCATAGATAAAGTTATTAAAAATAGAACATTATAAGTAATAAAAAATATAAATAAAATTTGACAACTTGTTTATTCGTGTGTGTGTGTGTGTGTGTGTGTGTGTGTGTGTGTGTGTGTGTGTGTGTGTGTGTGTGTGTGTGTGTGTGTGTGTGTGTGTGTCTGTGTCTGTGTGTCTGTGTGTGTGTGTGTGTATAAAGTATATGGTTTGTAGCTGCTCCTAACAATATCTGTTCGGGACTGAGATATGTATGTCTCCTATGTATATCTGAAGGAAGCATATTTTTACAAATTCTTTGCATGTCATTGTATTCTAAGTCACAAGTTAGTCATATTGCCTTGTGCTTTTCCTACTGCAGCAAGTCCTGGTGGTGCAAAGGGAACTGAAAAAGAAAAAAATATATCTATCAAGTTGAAAGGGTAAGGAATTAAATCACGTCAAGTAAGAGATAAAGTTTTATACTGATGAATGCAATTAATAACATACTGGTATATAGATATATATTATATCAGTATATTATGAATAAATTTTAGCTGGATTTTGAAAACAGTTACTGATTACATATTCCTCTAGATTCACTTTATCAGACATATATCATAGATAAAGTTATTAAAAATAGAACATTATAAGTAATAAAAAATATAAATAAAATTTGACAACTTGTTTATTCTTGTGTGTGTGTGTGTGTGTGTGTGTGTGTGTGTGTGTGTGTGTGTGTGTGTGTGTGTGTGTGTGTGTGCGTCTGTGTGTCAGTGTGTGTCTGTGTGTGTGTCTGTGTGTGTGTGTCTGTGTGTGTGTATAAAGTATGTGGTTTGTAGCTGCTCCTAACAATATCTGTTCGGGACTGAGATATGTATGTCTCCTATGTATATCTGAAGGAAGCATATTTTTACAAATTCTTTGTATGTCCTTGTATTCTAAGTCACAAGTTAGTCATATTGCCTTGTGCTTTTCCCACTGCAGCAAGTCCTGGTAGTGCAAAGGGAACTGAAAAAGAAAAAAATTATATCTTTCAAGTTGAAAGGGTAAGGAATTAAATCACGTCAAGTAAGAGATAAAGTTATATACTGATGAATGCAATTAATAATATAGTGATATATAGATATATATTATATCAGTATATTATGATATAATTTTAGCTGGATTTTGAAAACAGTTACTGATTACATATTCCTCTAGATTCACTTTATCAGACATATATCATAGATAAAGTTATTAAAAATAGAACATTATAATTAATAGAAAATATAAATATAATGTAACAACTTGTTTATTCTTTTGTGTGTGTGTCTGTCTGTGTGTGTGTGTGCGTGCATGCGTGTGTGTGTGTGTGTGCGTGCGTGCGTGTGTGCGTGCGTGCGTGCGTACGTGCGAGCGAGCGTGCGTAAAAAGTATATGGGTTTTTTAGCAGCTCCTAACTATATTTGATCGGGAATGAGATGTCTCCTTTGTATATCTGAAGGAAGCATATTTTTACAAATTCTGTGTATGTCACTGTATTCTAAATCACAAGTTAGTCATATTGCCTTGTGCTTTTCCCACTGCAGCAAGTCCTGGTAGTGCAAAGGGAACTGAAAAGAAAAAATATATATCTTTCAAGTTGAAAGGGTAAGGAATTAAATCACGTCAAGTAAGAGATAACGTTATATACTGATGAATGCAATTAATAATATAGTGGTATATAGATATATATTATATCAGTATATTATAATATAATATAATTTTGGCTGGATATTGAAAACATTTGATATTGATTACATTTTCTTCTAGATTCACTTTATCAGACATATATCAGAGATGTAACAACTTGTTTGTTCTTTTGTGTGTGTTTGTGTGTGCGTGCGTGCGTGCGTGCGTGCGTGCGTGCGTGTGTTTGTGTGTGTGTGTGTGTGTGCAAAAAGTACATGGTTTTGTAGCTGCTCCTAACTATATCTGTTTTGGACTGAGATATGTATGTCTCCTATGTATATCTATATGACCATGTATGACCATTTGCTTAGAATTATGTACTTTTGTCTGAATCTTTGCATTTTCGACCCCCTGAAAAGTTACGTACACATTTGTAGTCTGACTGCCGGTCAGACACTGTGTGCAGAAACATATGTTTTCCGCTGTTGCTGACCACCTGACTCTACAGGGAATACAGGTTTTAAGGGAGCCTTTGTTTAATAAATAAAGGGAATCCTCTATCACTGTCCAGATTGTAACATATTTTTAAAATCTTTTTTTTTCAAACAAATTTGGAAACTGAATAGGTTTATCTCCAAATTATCCACTGTCGTTCAAAACAAAAACGTTAGGGTATCTTCTAATATTCTAATCACAAGTCATATTGCTTTGTATTTTATGGTAGTACAGCAAAAGGCAACTGAACTAAAGGAAACATCATTCATGTTCGAGAGGGTAAGGGATTAAATCAAGTCAGGCATGCGATAAAGTTTTATATTGATTTTAATGAAAATGAGTAAAATGTAACATGAATGAGTTCATACAATTGTGTTATAAAATACTAGTGTTTGAAATTATGGTATAATTAAATACCATGAATATATTTTCAATATATCAAACAATACAAGTTTACTTCAACATTATGTTACTTTCAATTTTAATAATATTGTTGTGTCATAGAAACATTTGATTTCTTCTTTCTTGCCAGATCCAGATACCTCGAGAAAATATGTGAAATGCTGGACTTCCTCATTGACAACACCTATGTAAAATTAATAACATCTGTGTAAACTGGTAAGATATTTAGGCAAAAAGTAGGCATCCCAGAGGGCACCATTTGCGCTCCTCTTCTAACTGATCTGTTTCTTTATGTATATGAATCAGAATTTCTGCTCGGATTGACAAAATCAAAACAAGGAAATTTTGTCAAAAAGTGGACCTGAAGCTTCAGGTATATCGATCATCTGACATCGTTCAATAACCATCAAATCGCCAATTCCCCTCCTCTGATTTACCCACCTGAACTAGAAATAAAGGAGACCAGTGAGTGAGGCCGCTTCGTCTTGGTGTCTACATCTTAAAACCTTTTAAGGTACAATCGCGCATCCCCTTTTTCCACCAAGATTTCAAAGAGTGTCATACAACTCTTGCCCAGAAGTTGTTTGATTAAGGTCATAACATCAATGGGGTCATCAAAGCTACATGTACTTGTTACTTTTATGGCAGACATGTGGAGGCCATTTCCAAATTTCACTCATCAGTGACAAAATGATGTTCGATCAAGTTTCCTATTTTGACATGTGCCATACATGTATGTTCCTATCTTTTTTTCAGGAGAACAATTGACTTGCCTTTGCATGTGTTTATGATGTGTGCCAATGTCGGAAAGGTGATAGGGAACGTTGAATTACGACAAATTCATTTCTACAACCATATCAAATAATTGTGAATGGGATGCACTCAACGCTTGAAACTTGTTCTCAGTTCAAGATGTAGCCAGTTTTGAAAGAATGTTTTCATCACTGTTACATTACAATGTACAATAAATCACGAAGACAGATTTTCTATTTAGTTTTCATAAAACAAACATATGTTTTGGATAAGTCTTTCAGATATCTTTTGTGTTTTGTTCACAAATATAAACATAAATGTTATCGATTACTATTATACAAAACTTCAACTTTTGCGTTACATACAACAACATAATGAAATAAAATTTAAAATATCCTCTTATATATCTTAATCATACAATTCAAATATTTTCATGTCCGTTTCTTTATCAAATCAGCGTCAAAACTGCAGAATGTTTTACTTTAACACTGCGTTACTGTCAATATTAGTAATGTTGTGTCATAGAAACATCTGATTTCTTCTTTCTTGCAAGTTCCAGATACCTTTGGATTACTTGCAATCAGTATTAAAACCAGGTGAGGTCTTGTAATACACATTTACAAAGGTTGGTTGGTTAGTTTCTAGTTTAACGCCGCACTCAGAAATATTCCAGCTATATAATGCAGTCTGTAAATAATTGAGTCTGGACCAGACAATCCAGTGATACATATCATGAGCATCGATTCACGCAATCGAGATTGATGACATATATCAACCGAGTTTGAACACCCGATCCCGGTGGTCGCCTTTTACAACAAGCATAGTCGTCTTTTACGGCAAGCATGGCCTGCTGAAAACCTATTCTACCGCGGATCTTCACGGGTCTTTACAAAGGTAATGATGAACTGTTTTGTAAATAGTTACCAAAAAGGAAACTTCTTTGCACTTGTTAACATTCGTTTTAGACAGGTTACAGGAAAGACAACATGCTCAAAATTATATCACATTTCCATAACTATTCAAATCATGACAAAATTAATTTTACGCAGAATAAGTATTATAAGTAGTTATATAAAGAACTTTTAGCATCCATATCAAATAATTATAAATAATTACCTGCAGGTGGGATGTTGGAGTAACCTGGAACTTGTTGTGAAGCTGGTGCTTGCAAGATAAAACATCTCAGATTCAGATGTAGCCAGTTTTGAAAAAAATGTTTTCATCACTGTTACATTACAATGTACAATAAATCACGATGACAGATTTTCTATTCAGTTTTCTCAAAACGAAAAAAGGTTCAGGATTAATCTTTCAGTTATCTTTTGTGTTTTATTAACAAACAAAAATATAAATGTTATCGATTACTATTATACAAAGCTTCGATCTTTTGCGTTACATACAACACAGTGAAATAAAATATATAATAACCTCTTATAAATCTTAATCATACAATTCAAATATGTTCATGTCCGTTTCTTTATCAAATCAGCGTCAAAACTGCAGAATGTTTTACTTTAACACTGCGTTACTGTCAATAATGGTAATGTTGTGTCATAGAAACATCTGATTTCTCCTTTCTTGCAAGTTCCAGATACCTTGGGACTAATTGGAGTCAGTATTAAAACCAGGTCAGGGGTTGAAAAAAACATTTACAAAGGTTGGTTGGTTTGTTGTTTAACGCCACACTCAGCAATATTCCAGCTATATGATTCAGTCTGTAAATAATTGAGTCTGGACCAGACAATCCAGTGATACATATCATGAACTTCGATCCACGCAATCAAGATCGATGACATATATCAACCAAGTCAGCGAGTCTGAACACCCGATCCCGTTAGTCGCCTTTTACAACAAGCATAGTCGCCTTTTATGGCAAGCATGGCCTGCTGAAGACCTATTCTACCACGGATCTTCACGGGTCTTTACAAAGGTAATGATGAACTGTTTTGTAAAAAGTAAACAAAAAGGAAACTTCTTTGCACTTGTTAACATTCGTTTTAGACAGGTTACAGGAAAGACAACATGCTCAAAATTATATGACATTTCCATAACCATTCAAACCATGACAAAATTAATTTTACGCGGAATGAGTATTATAAGTAGTTATATAAAGAACTTTGAGCATCCATATCAAATAATTATACATAATTACCTGCAGGTGGGATGTTGGAGGAACCTGGAAATAGTTGTGAAGCTGGTGCTTGCAAGATAAAACATCTCAGATTCAGATGTAGCCAGTTTTGAAAAAATATTTTCATCACTGTTACATTACAATGTACAATAAATCACGATGACAGATTTTCTATTCAGTTTTCTCAAAACGAAAATATGTTCAGGATTAATCTTTCAGATATCTTTTGTGTTTTATTAACAAAAATATATATAAATGTTATCGATTACTATTATACAAAGCTTCGATCTTTTGCGTTACATACATCACAATGAAATAAAATATATAATAACCTCTTATATATCTTAATCATACAATTCAAATATGTTCATGTCCGTTTCTTTATCAAATCAGCGTCAAAACTGCAGAATGTTTTACTTTAACACTGCGTTACTGTCAATAATGGTAATGTTGTGTCATAGAAACATCTGATTTCTTCTTTCTTGCAAGTTCCAGATACCTTGGGACTAATTGGAGTCAGTAATCAAACCAGGTCGGGGATTGAAAAAAACATTTACAAAGGTTGGTTGGTTTGTTGTTTAACGCCGCACTCAGCAATATTCCAGCTATATAATGCAGTCTGTAAATAATTGAGTCTGGACCAGACAATCCAATGATACATATCATGAGCATCGATCCACGCAATCAAGATCGATGACATATATCAACCAAGTCAGCGAGTCTGAACAGCCGATCTTCTTTGCACTTGTTAACATTCGTTTTGGAGCAGGTGACAGGAAAGACAACATGCTCAAAATGATATGGCATTTCCATAACTATTCAAATCATGACAAAATTAATTTTACACAGAATAGGTATTATGAGTAGTTATATAAAGAACATTTAGCATCCATATCAAATAATTATAAATAATTACCTGCAGGTGGGATGTTGGAATAACCTGGAACTTGTTGTGAAGCTGGTGCTTGCAAGATAAAACATCTCAGATTCAGATGCAGCCAGTTTTGAAAAAATATTTTCATCACTGTTACATTACAATGTACAATAAATCACGATGCCTGATTTTCTATTCAGTTTTTTCAAAACAAAAATAGGTTCAGGATTAATCTGTCAGATATCTTTTGTGTTTTGAACAAAAAAAGAAACATAAATGTTATCAATTACTGTGAAACAAAACTTCGATCTTTGTGTTACATACAACAACACAATGAATTAAAATATAAAATAACCTCTTATATATCTTAATCATGCAAATATTTTCAAAACTGCAGAAATATTGACTTAACAGACTTGCGTTTCTGTCAATATTAGTAATGTTGAGTCATAGAAACATCTGATTTCTTCACCCTGGTGAACGCTAGAGCTCTTCCCAAGTGTCGAGGGGGACGACAAGAAAGATTAGACGGCGGGTTATGCTGAACATCTCCTATGTCCAGGTCGGGGCCGAGTCGTGCAGAAAGAGGAGCCGTCAAGGTACGAGAAGATGGACTCCCTCCCGGAGACGCTCCGCCTCCTGTAACTGGACAATACAGAGAAAGCATTCTTTTCCCTGAGGAAGTTCCCCGTCGTCAAGATCCCAGGTCCAGAGATCACACCAGAGGACCAGGGTAGGGAGTCTCACAGCCCCAGCCTCCCTGCTGCTTCCCAGCGATTGCACCAGGAAAAAGGGGACTAAAAATCTATGTGCCCACAAACAGGGTGTACCACCGGGTCCAGATAATTGAAATTACATGTCCTGCAGGCCCACTTGCCAGTCTACTTCTCCGAAGGAAACCAGCCAGTGACCCGGGAGATGGCCCAGGACAGGGTCCGGGCGCTGCTTTGCCTCGCCAGGATGATTGTTGGTCCCGGAGCAACCTTAGAAGACTTGCAGAAAAGAGCAGATGCGAGCAGAAGAATGCCAGGAGACTGTAAGCTGTCTCCTGAGGCCTCAGAAAACCTTAAAGGGATGTGCCGGAGCCAGGGGTGGCCGGTGCCAGGCCAGTTCCAGTTGGTGCAGTCCAACTCCTTAGCCTGTCTGGCTCATTGGAGAGTGTTGGTGGCTCTGCTCGCGGAGTCGGACAATCCACAGTGTGAGGAATTCCGAAGATTTTTGGAAGCCTTTGGGTAGCGGGTTTCCTGCAGATGGAAAGGTTCCACATTAGAGAGCAAGAAAGGTCAAACACGGAAGTAGCTGCAGACCTTGTGATTACCAGGTCCCTATCCATCAGTTCCGAAGAAAAGTCGGACACAGAGGCCGAATATAATCAGCCACAGGGCTAACCGGAAGCAATAGATTCCCATTTTCAACTAGACCGAAACTGCCGAGATGTCCTAGGGCGACGCCATGGCCTATCTGTGGGAGATCTCATACATCACCTCTGAGCGAACTCCAGTGGAGCTGGTGAGAGCAGTCGCGGTATTCTGCGACCCGGCCACCAGCCCCCAACAATTTGAGTCCAATCCCTCATGGAAAACTGCCACCAGAATCCATCCAAAACACGCCCCCGAGTTTAACCATACCCAGCTGGGGGAAATGATGGATTTACTCACCTCATCCCCAAACGTTCAAGCCCTGGGAGACATAGGGCTGGACAGGACCACCCCTTCTCACACTTGGGATCGACAAGAAGAAGTGTTGCGGAAGGTCCTAAAATTTCAGCCCTAGACCAGATCATCGTCCTCCACCCGCAAGGATCCAACCAAGGACCCGTACGGTTCAGATGTACATGGCCACGGAATTTAGATGATGAAGAGCCAGTAGACCACCTACCAGGTGGTCCACGTCCATAGCATCTAAGGGCAGGACGCCAAAGTAGCAGCCTAGCTTCCTGACTTCCGGCACACATACTTCAGTGTCAATGCCATCGTGGAGGGTTACGAACGGTGGCAGGTCAAGGGACTACAAGCAATCCCCTGGAACCGTTTACTCATTGAAACCAACTCACCTCATCTGAGGCATACCCCACCAGATCAGGGACGTCGCTGCCCTCGTCGCCCAGACTAAGGGCACTTCGGTGGGTGAAGTCCTGCATTACTCTTCCAGTAATGCCAGGGCCATCTACCAAATCCAGTGGTCCGTGAGGCAGAGGAGACAGGAACTGGTCGGAAGGGTATATTTACTGGGCATCAAGACAGAGTCAGGTCGGCCCGGTATGTTTACAGGACGGAAAGAGAGGACCCATTTGGAAAAAAAAACATACGAGGAATCCGTGTATCCATGAGATCTCGGGAGTCAAGTTTGGATAGGAAGATGGGAGAAAAGCTCATCAGTCAAGAAAGATCCCGTATATAGACCAAGGAAGAATAAGGGGCTCCTGTAAATGGAGGGCAGCGTGGTGGTCGGTCATGCCGGACAGGCAAGCCGAAGCTTCCCGAGTGCCGCATCCCATGTCAGGGAAGTTAGAGGAGCCGAGAAGCTCCCAGCCAATGAGCGAGACGGGATCCCAGGAGGGCGCCAGTCGGGTTTTCAGCAAAATAAGTAAGTACACATCTTTTATGGCCTCTCACTTACTTTTGCTTTGATAACCGATTCACCGTAGTGTCAACTATTATTATCGTCAGAATTATCGTCAGTTATTATAATAACATTTATCATAAATAGAGAGATGCAGCCAAAAGAACATATATGCCCCTCTCTCAATTTGTGTCTTTGGTGTGTTGTCCTCCTTGTCTTGTAATCGTCTCATGACTCTCCCTCTCGGCAGTGTAACATGTGCCCAGGGTAGTGAACATAACGCATGACCAATATTCTAACATTTCTATGTACTGTATCAATGCTACAAGTGTTTAGTATTTTTCAAACACCCACCTGTCACGTTTAACCCCTGAATTGCGCTGACCTAATTTTTTAATGTTAGCACCATCGGTGCTAATGTATGCAAGTCCGCTAAATTATTTCCATTTGGAAACTATATTCATATCAAAACTGTATGTTTTCATAGGGCGATTTACATTCATGTGTACAGAAAAGATGCCAGAAATGTCAAAATGTGAACATGAATAAAACTAAATGATGGGGCATATATTCACCTGGTGGCCCTCCAGCTTTGAACAAAGAAGCTGAAAGGTAACGCATATTATATAAATACAAAAATTAACAAATGTACCGCATGGGATGAGACACGTGGTGACGACAATTAGGAGATAAACATACTGTGTTTTCAATGTAGAGCTAGGTTATCTGTAGATTTAACCCCCGCTTAATTGAATTTGGAACCGAACGCGCAGCGTGAGGTTTCAAATGTTAAATTACGCGCGGTTAAATCTACAGGTAACCTAGCTCTACATTAAAAACACAGTTTGTTTATCTCCATTCTACCATGACTAAATAAAACGCAAACTCTTTGGTGTCAGCAAATATATTGAGTGAAGCGGCATGGGTTGAGTTCAGTGTTTTCAGTGGGTTATTGATCTGAATTACGGAATCACCGAACAAAATATGGTGCTGTATATACTCAAGCAGTTTGTTTAGACCGTTATACTTCACTCGAACATATGACAGGCATTGAAATCATATAAGCACGGCAACTTTGTAAGCTAACATGAGGCGGGCATCCCTCAAGAAAACAAAGCAAGCTTTGCAAGGCTTTCGCTCTACATCGCACGTCACCATTATGACGTCATATCGCTCATTGTGACGGAAACATGACGTCACAGTCGTATATAGAAAAGTGCCAAAATTCCAAGCTCTCTGTTGTCTCCAAAACGTAAATACATTCCCTTTGTTGATTTCTGTCGTGTTTTTCTGCACGAAATGTATTGCCACACATCCTTTGAATATTGTAGTAACCGCATCTGTGCATTTTGTAATCGTAATTGTAGATATAATTATTTAAATATGCCAACCGACAATGACTGAAAATAGTGCTATTCTATGAATATTAGCTTCCGCGGTGATGCGGCCGTCAAACCAGCTGTTTCAATCAGAGGGGGTTTATTGTGATTTAATAGCCTCTGATTGACCAATCAGAATCGAGTAAATTCCAAATTCATGGTAGAATATGGCTTTGAACAAAGGAACTAAAAGGTAACGCATATTATATAAATACAATTTATTAATAAATGAACCACACGGGAGGAGACACGTGATTACTTCAAAATGTTAATGTGCATGCTGTAGTTCACAGACATTAAAAAGCTCACAACGGATTCTGATTAGAAGGTGTATGATAATTTCCTGGCTGTGTTTTTATCACACTATTTTGAAGACAGACTAAAACATGCAATTTAATAACATGTCCAACAAACAAATGATGTTTGTTTTTTTTAAAAAGAGCGGACACATTGCCTTTATGTTAATACCTTGATAAAAAGACATTTCCATTCGTAGATAAATAAGGGTATTTCAATTTCAATGACATTCTGTTAGTGACTGGTCATTTATTATGAAAAAGTTGTTACTTGAGGGGTGGTGTGGCATGAAAATATGTTACATAAAATAGGAAGGGGGGTCAGCAATATATGATACAGTCGAAAGACCCATCCACAACCCACCCTATCCCAAACACGTTAATAAATAAATGATCAGTCCCCTGCAAATTTTGAAGCTTATTGTTGATGCCAATGCTGATGAGCATCTATGAATATATTACTTCATCATTACTGTTCAGTTGTTTATGATTGCATAATGTTTTCGTGTATGAGAGAAATGAAATTCTTACTTGTTAAAAGTTTCTTCTTGGGCACATTAGCTTCTTTATGAGATCCACATGAACTGCATTGGTCCAATGCATTATCACAAAAGGTGTTGCAAGACTTACACACCCACACTGAAAGTCAAAATGCAGCTTACTAATTAACTCAAGAAGTATCAGATATATAGATGACCTCACTCATCCAACAGCAATATCGATGATAATCTTCACCAATCAAAGAAACAACTGAGGAACCATATCCAGTGCCAACCTGGAAAATACAAAATAGTTCGCAACCTCTGAACAAAGGTGTGCGACAAGAGGGACAATTTCGACTTTGTAATCGTGAATTTCCAATTCATTTCGAGCAATACGCCATCTGCACCAGCTTGAGGCATGTTTTTTTTAAATGGTAAAGTTATTGCATAGAGGTCCATTCCTCTTTCTAGGAGATAACAAAAGAAATAGACTAAGACTTACGTAAGCATCAAATAGTCAATTCCCTTCAACTGATTTTAAAGGAGACATGTGAGTCCGCCTCGTCTGTTTCATATTTAAATACAGATTTTCCACAATACTGTATGACAAGAGGGATGACATGGAACTTTCCAATAGTCAACCTTTCCTTTATGTCGAGCAATATTCCCGCAGGTCCAGCCTTCAGTGTCTACATTTCACAACCTATTAGGTACAATCGGGCATGCTCTTTCATCATACGACATCTTACAACATTTAAGGCCTCAGTTGAGCTTTCAAAAAGTTTTATTGTAGACGTGGGTGACATTTCCAAATTGACCCATCAGTGACCACAATGATGTCCGATGCAATTCCCTTTTTGTACCATATGTTCCTTTGGGGTTTTTTTCAAGGGAACAATTTACTTGCTATGCCGTCTGTTTTGGCTAATGTTCGAAATGGATTATAATTTAATATAGTTAATAAATATAAGGATTCGTGAATATAATAAGGAGATATATTTGCAAAAATGAAGATAGATATGCAGTGATAGATATTGTCGGTACACACATTATGCTCAGTCAAATCGAGAACTGTATGAAAATGACAATAGTAGATAGATAAATAGGTATGGATCTTACTTGTTTTGATTCAAAGTCAATCGGTGACCTAAAAACAGAAGATACACAAAATAATATGTGTTTCATTTGACATAACACGTTTCTCTTCAATAAAGCCTCTTTGATTCAATTGTATAAATCAGCATTGTGAGACAGTGTTAATCAAGTGCAGTTAAATGTTGTGGAACCACACTGTGACCATCCAAAGTAACCAAGGTTGAATTAATCTTACAGAAAGTGTTTCAAATGATATGATGGCTAGGCAAGAAGATACAAATTTGAAGTTAATGTAGACTCGTAGACACAATATGCATTTCAGCATTGAATAGGCAGCACTTCATGTTGATTTTTGATAACTACGGTAGATATATAACATCAAACATCTGTAACCCAAAAAAGTCGTAGTATTACTTTATCTTAAGCACATATGATAACATAAAAGTTTGTATGAAATACAGATAAGATAAGAGTGGCCGTCACATACCATTTATCTTGCAACAATTTGTAATCAGTAGAATTGTTTGATAGGCATTACTTTGAAGTTGGCGGATGACAACGTAGACACAATTTATGGATAACAACTTCTTTAATACTGTATAAAGCTGGAATAGTAGGCTTCACTTGAAAGTCTGGAATGCGGACTCTTTGGAGGTCTGGCAACTTGTCGTTTTTTTAAGAGAAGTGTACCAGTGTAACAGACCGAAATATCCCCCTGGCCAGTTCTTCCCAAGTGAAGTTCCGGCCTTGGTCAATTTCAGCATGCTTGCCATAAGAGGCGACTGTGCTGGTTGCAAGAGGCGACTAATGGGGTCGGGGGGTCAGACTTGTTCACTTGGTTGATGCATTTCAATTGCTAAAATCCATGCCGTGATGTCAATCACTAGATGTGTGGGCCAGATTCGATTATTTACAAACCGACGCCAAATAGCTGGAATATTGCTGAGTGTGGTGTTAAACAACAAACAAACAAACAAATCTTCCTCGGGGAAGGTTTGACCCAGGCCAGTTCTCCACCAAGCCTGGCCAGACTTTTCCCCCTCGAATAGAGGTCAAATGTTCCCTTCTCTTGACTCCAACCTAGGAAATTAGTATTTCGGGGACACGCCTGTCCTGTTATGGATTTCTTCAGGACAACCATATTAATCTTCAAGTATTTTAGATATTGTTCCACAATATTGAAAAATTTCTATTTTTATAAAAATGGAATATGAGAATGTTGATGTTAATAAATGACTGACAAGTGTTAAGCTTCCATGATCAAACTGTCATTTTATCAATATCGTGTATACACACTGAGAAATATGGTAGATTGGTAGACGACGTGCTTTGAGAAGGTTCTAGTGCCTAGGGCATGCTGGGGTATACGTTTGAAAGCTACGTATACGTGACTTTGAAAGACTCTCACTGGGGAACGCAATAATTTCTAGTTCAGTAGTATAGGTAATGGTGATTCTGGCTCACTTCCACTGGGGCCAGACTTATATACCTATACCGCTAGTACAGTTGGATTTTTTTATGTCAAAATGATGATGCGCATCAAAGATAGTCATGACTCGTATTAAAAGAAACATCAATATTTATTAATAATGAATAAAATTTACTATAGCCCACGAGGATATTGGAAAGGTATAGGAGCAATACAAAAATTAGCCACTGCGGCTAAGGTATCTAAAGATGTGGCCAAGGACTGGTTAAAGAAACAAGTGATGTGGTAAATATACTTACCGGCACCGCGTTATATACCGGGGAAGAAGTTTGATATTTTTACAACGAATGAAGTTCATCAGGCTGACCTCTTGTTTCTTCCCCAAGATAAGGAAAGACGCAAAATGTATAAATACGCTTTAACCATAGTGGATGTGGCTAGTCGATGCAAAGAGGCTGAGCCATTAACCTAGAAAGATTCAACAGAAGTAGCTAATGCACTGAGCCGCATATATAAACGAGGACCACTAAAATGGCCTAAGCTATTTCAAGTAGATACTGGTCGCGAGTTTATGGGATCAATAACTAAACTGTTAACAAAGCACGATTTTGAAATCAGGCGTGGGGAAAAAGAGGCCCACCATAGTCAAGCTATTGTTGAAAGATTTAATCAGACATTAGCGGAACGTTTGTTTTGCTATCAGTATGGGATCGAAATGAAATTGGAACAATTAAGATGAACCGAATGGGTGACAGGATTATCAGCTGTTGTATCAGAGCTTAATAATGAAGTACCAAAATTAATCAGGAAGACACCATCCGATGCGATTAAAATGAAATCCGTGACTTCCAAATCTTCAGCACCACGGAGAGGCAAAGAACAAAAACTTCCCGATAGAGTAAGGGTAAGATATTTTTACCAGCCCGGTGAACTCGATGGAGGCCTACGTCGCACAACCGATCCAATTTGGTGTCTTAAGATATATAACATTAGTCGATTGGTTATAAAAGAAGGAGAGACTATTCTTTATTAGCTTAAAGATGGACCGTGCAGGGCATTTGTATGAGAAGAGTTGCTCATAGTTCCCAACGATCCAGTATTACCGCCCTAAGTAACCATAAGCATAGGTAGTTACTCCATCCTTATCAGTCCATCTCTTTGTATCTAAGAGGGATAATGATGTCTTGTCCATTCTTAATCCATATATCCTGTGATTGTAACTTCTTAAAGAGTTCATCTCGTTTTTGAACGTTCTACCATTGAATAATGCTTCTTTATACTATTCGTGTTTGATATGCTTTTTCACCACATACTTCTTAACACCCTTAGCTTTTCTTATCTCCCCATTATCAGACTTCTTTATCAAATACATCTTAGGTCTTAATCCGACATACTCCGCAATAGGGGTCCCAGCACATTCATCCTTCATCTTACCTAACACCCTTTTATTTACTTTGCTGTGCCAGGGATTATCTTTTGGGTAATCGCTCGTGTCGTACATATCTATTTTTTCTGCCATATCTCTATACACATCCTCGGTTTGTATTTCCATCAACAAAGAATCTGTGTCGGTATTTAACACCTCGCATCTTTCACCGTATTGCTTCTTAAGTTCGTTGTAATAAAAGACATACATTAAGTGTTTTGACAAGTCAAGAAAACTCATACCAACGTACACCGGTCTGTTGAATTTTATATTACTCTTCTGCATATGTAGTGCAGCTAAGTTATTATCAAATATATTGCTTCTGTTAAAAGCCGTTGGCGATAACTTTCCTGAGTCTTTCTTCCTCATTAGACCTGACTAATTTAACATCAACAAGCTTCCTTCGATTCTCCATAGTTTTACCAAATACTGAGTTATTCACGAGCTTATATAGATTCTTTTCAAATTCGCTGGTAGCTATCTTTCTTAAATCTGTGTTCAGCCTTATATAGGACTCCATCCAAGGGCTTTGATCAAACTTTAGAACTCTGTGTATTTTCTTAGTTTCATACCTAACGATAGATATAACTTGAGATGTCTGTAGTGAACTATATATTTTGTCTTATCCATCAAATTTGGTACAGGTTTTTCTACGTCTTTAGCTAAATTAGTATTACTCATCAAGGAGTGTTGATATTCCAACATCCAATCTTTATTCACCATTAATCTTTCAGGAGCTAGCGGATAATTATTATGGTCTTTATGTAACTCTGTTGGATATTCCAAGTCAACTTCTGGTATGTACCCTTTATTCACATCGACCTCATGGATATCATTCACTTCGATATCATTCATATCGACCCACTCAAAACCACCTGTGGGTAAAGGTTGACTCATAGCCCATCCGTACAAATTGTTGGCGTCGAGATATAATATGTGCGTGTGGGGTTTACTCGGATCATATCCTTCCACTAATTTATTATTAGCCTTAGAATACCTTTTCGCTACCATCGATATACCACCTCTTAATCCTTTCTCAATAAACAAGTGCATATCGTAATCGGTGAGTAGTTTTACTTCTACACCGGTCTTCTTCAAAAATGCATCCCACGATAGTTCGGGACTGAAATAGTACCATGCCGGGTCCACGCCTATTGTTTTAAACATGTCTTTCTAAATATCTCCAATATATCGGCGAGTAACAGTACATCATTTTTTAAGTACAGATCGTGATAATTGCCTAAATTCTTATCCCACACCGTCAGAGCATGTTCATAATCGGCATCGGTTATTTTAGAGTCTGTTAAGTAACTATAGAAGATTCAAGGGGTGGTAATTTAGTTTCGTCGAATCTAGACCCATCATCCATATATACGTAAGGATATACACTACTTCCTAGAAGTTCATTCCCCTAACACGCGTTCTCAACGCGTGTAACACGCATGTGACACGGGAGCACCCCCGTTGGACACGTGTGTGCAGCGCGTGTGCAACCCGTTGCACACGCGTGGGTCACTGGTTGCACACGCGTGTACCACGCGTGTAACACGGGACCAGGTTCCAGTTGAAGTTGACAAATATTTCAAATGAATAGTGAGATAAAACAAAACAGTGAGATGTGAAATTTGAGTTAATGAGCGGCCATTGACCTGTGTTCACCAGACCATAAATACAAGGTCGGCCCGTCTTAATTAGTGTTCAGTTGCTAGACTTTTATGGCATGAACCATTCCACTAGGGTCCAGTCTAGCCATTGTGGCTAGCCGACAGTAGAACAGTAGTGAATTTAGATGCGAGTTTATTGCTAGGGGAACCCCCGTGTTGACACGATTGTCGCGGGTTGGTAAATGTTCGCCATTAATAAAATGATTCTTTGTTGATTGCGAACATATTCATTTTGCCCACATGAGTCATTCCACTTGATTGCAAATATAACGTTTTTCGTTCGCCAAATTTATGCTTTAGACAGTACAATTATGATATACATGTAGCCGTCACCACTACTAATTCCCATTATTTCACGTAGGAATATGTCCCGTTCCACCACACCCCACTTTCTGTTTTGTATTTTGAAAGAATAAATAAAAGAAAGTTTTGTGTGGGACACTTTTATGCTAATTATAAGAGGATGTTGGAAATGACTGTTGATAGAATTTGAGATCTTCACAATCACCGGGTGTGACAGAATCTCTTTAGGG